ATGCGAAATCTACAGTAAAGACTACATCTTATCAGATACGGGTCCGCGGCCTTGTTTTGGGGTCCTTCACACCAAAAAGGTTAAGAACCGCTTATGTTGACCATGTTATCTGAGTTTATCTTGTTGCTAACATTTGCCAATCAGAACTAAAAACAAAAAGTAGACGTACAGCTGAGGTGTTCAGATCAGAAGACCAAAGTGATAACAATTAATCCTGAAGGAGAAATGAATGTCTGAACCAATTTTTTGTAATCCATCCAAGATTTATTGAGATATTTTATTTTGACCAAAGTAGTGGATCAACTGATGACTGCTGGACAGACTGACATTGCTATCCCTGGAAGAAAAATAAAAGTGTAGGATTAGGTAATATTTACAAAGAAATCTATAGGAGTACAATTTTGAGAAAGATACACTTGATAATAGAAGTATTGATTGAAAGGTTTCCTCTAAAGTTTATTTCATTTGCACCGAATAAGAACCATTTATTTTATATATGTCGTTCTATGTTGTTGGCACACATGGCAAGACATAATGTAAGTAGATGTAGCAAGAGAGTTAAAATACATTGTAAGAATATGATATACAGTAAGAAGTCAACACGATTAGCCAGGGTAAATGTGTGTTTCTCTGTAGGTGTGGACTGAGCAGTCGCCTTATTGGGCAGAGCGTTAGCAGCCGTGGGCAGCTGCTGTAGGGTTTTCTGCATTCAGAGGTGACTTGCGAGTCCCTCCTCCACTGGTTTCTACTTTGGTACGCACTGATGTAGGCCAGCACTGTCTAATTTCTAGCAGTCATTTTGTAGGTGTATGTTTGGAATGGGGCCATTCAAATGTATCATCCTTCAAGTCTTCAAGCATCACGTCACCCACTGTGGGCCTGGACCTTATTCTGTCAATCGTTTTAAATCAGACCTGTTGTTTCAGCTCCAAATTGCTTCTCTACAAACATACTTCAATCAGGAGAGACTTGTAATTGATATGTGCACAATGAAAATGAGAAATGTGAAAAATCTTTGGTATTTGAAGGGGTTGGTGAAGCCTGATTAGTATAGGAAACCCCCTGATGGAGTCTAGAGTGGACTTCTGATGAGCTCAACCTGGGCACTGAATATGACAAACTGGAGGTGAAGGGGTTGGAGGAGGGTGGCAGCGATTTCACACTGAAATGACAGCTGAAAGCAGCAGAGAGGAGAACAGATTTAAAGTGAGACAGCAGGAACATGATTGGCTGGTGGAGATTTTGGCTGAGTCTGATTGGATTAACGGAAAGAGTAAACGCCCATAGCCGATGGAGAGTGAGGGAATTGGGAATGAATGAGGCATAAGGAGTGGGTCTTCCTGATTGAACTTATGCTGAGCTTCATTTGCTGTAACTCTTACTCAGGACTGAAGTACAATCAAAACAAATCAAAATATCACATCTTCAGGGACATGTTAATTGCTCACTCTGTAGTAGGAAAGTGAAAAGATGCAAATCAAATAGTAAATAAATAAATAAATAGTTAAAGTTGCCATGATGCAAAGGAAAATTGTATACATTTACATGTTAACATTTAATATGTTAGAAAAGAAGAAGACTATTAAGGAGTTGTGAGTAAGTAAGATATAAGCGAGGGGTGGAAGAACTATTCAGATCCTTCACTACTGTACATTATCAAAAGTAAAATAAATTATAATACAGAAAAGTGGCTGCAGTGGGTGTCGTATTATTATTATTAATAACAGAAAAGTATATTTTACTCTGAAATGTAGTTGAATAAAAGTATAAAGTTGCATATATCATAAAAATACAAAATTAAAAAAAAACATGCAGTAGTTGAATAAATGTAGCTACTTTCTACCAATGGATGTAACGATACACTCAACTCACTATTTGATACATTTACCGGGTTCACAAAAGGATTTTCTCAAATTTTTCTTTTACCAAATGAAATTAAATACAAATTATGACTGGAAAATATTGTGCAAAGCAATGCATTTTTCTTTTTCTTTGTAAAAATTCAGCTGATATCTTTGCGCCTTGATACAGCTACTGACAAGAGCGATGTAGGATGTTGAAAAAGCAAAGTCAAAAGGATATATTGCCCTCTGCTGTTTATAAAGAGCATCACAACATTTTTCTTCTCACTGATTTAAATCTTCACATTTTTGTATCGCGATAGAACTGTCTCAAGATATATCGTTTCATCCCTAATGGATTACATCATAACTACTTATAGTTATGATGTAATTCATGAGATTTTTAATGCAGTCAGTTTGATTGAAACATGGGTCCATGTTGAAAAAATGAAAATGACCAGCTTTATACTTTAAGTATAAATGTAACAAATAGCTAATGCTCTGTTTGCATCATGCATTATTTTTTATTTCTGTTTCATTCTGTAGTTTAAATATTTGGGTTGTGTGTGCTTTTGGTTGTCCTTAATTCAGCCTCGTTACCATAAAGTAGGCTATATGAATGATGTATGTTATTAGTATAGACTCTGCTCTGCATTGTCCCTCTGCATAAATTTGAAGTACTTGAGCCCTCGTGCCAAATGTGCCAATATCAGTCCTGCTGAGGAGCAGAAAAGAGTGGAGAGCAGAGAAGACTGAGCTTTGTTCCTAACTAACTAGCGAGCAAAGTTCTTACTTAATAAATCCACAGTAAATAAATATATAACAGAGCCATTAGGTAAAGGGTTACTTGGAAATAAACAAGCAGTAAGATAAATAAAGACAAATGGCAAATTAACCTGGGATCATTAAAATTTATACATTTGAATGAATATAAAAATCATATTTTATTATTTTCATATATTAAAATCACATTTTGATATACACACATAAACAAAAAAGAAACAAACACTTACAATGCTGAATAATGAAAAATAAACAATTCTCTATCAGCACTCAATGTGAGTGCTCTATTTAATACATCCTTACATCCTTATTGTTACATTTTGATATACTCAAAAGCCAGGAAAAGGAACACACAATTAACTGTAAAAAATATTTATTACTAAATGCAAATAACATATTTTTGAATATAATAGAAAAATTTAGGATATGGAAATGACAACCTGCTAGAGATGCATCATAAATAAAACTGTGACCATCTTTGATTAATAAAAGTGAAACATAACTGAATGTTTTAATGGTCTTTACAGATGAAATTGACAGCTATATTTACTGTATATATTCACCCGTTACTTTGAATTACTGCTATAGGAATAGATTGATAGGAGCATTTACATGATTAAAAAAACTACCTTCTTTGGATTTATTCAACAGTTTGTTCAAAAGAAGTCTCCTGCTGTCCTCTTTTACATTTCATGTTTTTGATTCAGCATGAAATGTGTTTTGTAATGTTATTATCTGTGAAGAATTACACATTTATGACCCTTTTGCACACATTCAACATGTGAATTAAATAGAAGTAAGATGTTTACGAGACATCATAATTTAAAGGTTGAGTAACTCAAAGGTGTTAACAGGGTTATGGTTACACTGATTATGTCAGTGTGTGTCAGATGTGATAGTCAGGTTAATTGTTGGTGTGCATGGGATTGTTCTCCAGTGCAAATAAAACCCAATGCAAAATGTGTCAATCAGAAAGTGAGAATCATTCCCTAGAAGTTTAGCTTATTGGGGACACAATGCTTCCTTTCTGGCAACTTTGGTAAGGATGCTGCAAAAAGCATATTAGAGATTTATTATGGTTGCCTAAATAAAAATTGGATCACTGGATCAAAACAGATTTAACATCAAGTCTGGTGAAATTCGCATGCGACAACAAGTTTCAAAGACCAGAGTCAAATAAGTTACATTCAAGAACAATATATAGAAGAAAGTTCATGTTTTTTTCACATATGTAAAGCTGACAAAACAATCCAAATTTACAGTTTAAGTGAGGTGAATACAATGTTGTTTGTGGGGATAAAAACAATGATATTTGATCATATCTTTCCAAGTCAAGGAGATCTCACCTGTGATAGATTTCTGTGTGAACAATTTTATTGCAAAGTCAAAATTGAATTCATATATATTATCTGCATGGTGTTGTTTTAATTTATAAGTGAATATAAGCTTTTCAAATGCTACAGAAGAACTTCAGTGTTCTTTGATATATACTATATATTTTGCATCAAAGTAACATCAGTATACAGTTGAACTTCCACCAATAAGCCTGTATCTGTGACACAAACTGTGTCCTATAAGTAGAACACTTGTTGCTTGCACACATGTACCTGTACTTTGATATCAGTCTATAAGAGCTCACAAGTATAACCACTTTCGACCACTAGCCACTGAGCAGCTCCACTGGAGCCAACAGGTGCCGAGTGATCTCAGTGGTGCTGAGTGATCTCAGTGGTGCTGGTTTAGGGAACTGAGAGTGTTGCACGTATTTTCTCTGCGCTGGTTATCCAGGCTGCCCAGGGTTTTCAGTCACTTTGCAGTATGCAGTGAACATCTCTGACTGTGAGAACTGCTGCTGTATGTCAGGACAATAATAGTACTGTAAGAGTGGCAGATATCTTTCCTTTAATACCATTGTCACATCTGTTGGGCTTCTAACAGTTTCTGAACAAAAGGGGGCAAATTGTTGTAAAATTAAGAAAAAATATCTTAGAAATCTAATCATTGATACCTGTATGCCATTCTTGCCTGATTTTATAGGTTAGTCGATAGGATTTAATACCTTTGTCCTCCAACGTTTTCCATTGTTGGGTTTAACAGTTTCTAAATTAATTAAAAATATGAATATTTATTGTCTCGCTTGTGATAAGAACAGGTCAGTTCTTCAAGGCAGGCAATGAGAAACAAAGAGAGTGTTGTCATTCTGATTCAAGAACAAACCTAAAAAACATATTTCACGTTGTAGTGAAACAAGTCAGTCATGCGTTATTAATGTTGTGCAGGAAATCATTTTTATTTTACACGTGGAAAGGTGAAAATGGGAGAAGATGTAATGTATCTGCACCCCTCCCTTACTGTATTTGTCTGTCTTGTTCTCAGGGGAAGTTGGTGAAGTACTTCAGCCGCCAGCTATCCTGTAAGTGCAAAGTGGCCTTAGAGGAGCGCAGTGCTGAGCTGGAGGACTTCCCTCGCCTCGGCCACTGGTTCCGCATCGTCAACTTGAGGAAAGAGGTCACACAGGTAATGCGTCCAGTCACAAAATATACTCATCTTATCTTCCAAGATTACAAAGTGGGGATGTAAAAGGCTCAAGTAAAAAAAAAAATATATGAAAATGTACAGGTGACAGGGTAACAGAGGGTGCTGTCTAACAAAATCTCCCTTAGGTGTTCAATTGATTATTTAACATATTTTTCATACTCATCAAACCATCCAGTGCTTGTGTGCATCTGCATTTGTTATGTTTCTCCCATCATTTGTTCAGGTTTTTCGTTTGATTTGTCACCTTTCTGTATTTATCTGTGCGCTGGCTGACGGGTGTGCCACATGTGTTGATTTGGTTATTTGGTTCAGTTCTTTTTTTCCAACCATACCATGTTAATGGCCCAGAGCTTTTTAATATCACATTTTTCTCTTTATCATTTAGTCTTTTGTCTATCAAGCAGCGGAACCCCCTACAACTGAATGTTTAAGTCATGGCAAAAGTGTTTGAAGCTGCTTTTCCTCTAATAGCCACTTGACGCTGACAGAAGGTTAAAGTTAATATCACATCTTCTAATGCGTGTTTTGGTGGCAATTCAGAGAACTTGTTCCACCTGTTAAAGCTTAAAAAGTGACACTAACAAGCCAACCTCTTTCCACTCTTAAAAAACAAGGATAAGATTTTCCCTACAACTTCTTTTCATTAGGGTTAGGGTCCTTATTTACCTTTAACTGTGTCCCATGTATTAATATGAGATCTTAATGGTGTATGTGTATCTGTGTGTGTATGTCAATGTATCTTTGTCATGGCGTTTGCATATGTTTGTGTACGTGTGTGTGTGTGTGTGTGTGTGTGTGTGTGTGTGTGTGTGTGTGTGTGTGTGTGTGCTTATAGGAGATGAGTCCAGGTGAGGTGACCCTGGAGGGCCTGCTGGAGATGAGTGAGGAGCAGGTGTGCGAGCTGCTGCAGAAGTTTGGTGCCAACGAAGAGGAGTGCGCCCGACTCAATGCCTCCCTCTCCTGCCTCAGAAAGGCCCATCAGCTTGGTAAGAGTTAACCCAAAACACACAGAAATGAGCTCACACACACAAACACACACACATTCATTTGCTGTCTTTAAATGTCCTGAAAGGAAAATACAATTTTTTTTTTTTTTTTTTTTTTAAGTCATCGCCATTTACAGCTACTATGTGTTAAATTCCCTAACTGACAGTAGGTGGAGCGTACTGTACTGTGATCACACATTTGAGAGAAACAAATTAAATCCTCATGTTTTTTTGGTAATAATCTCACGATATACAATTTGTTTTTTGTGCTGTACAAAAATGAATGTGAGCAATAATATAATATGTAAAAAGGACAACTTAGATGATTTGTACAAAGGTTTTTAGGTTTTGCACTAAAATACAAATCATGTATACCAGACTTAACATTTGTTTTTGCTGAAAAACATGCCACAAGTTTTTTTAATGATGTCCTACTTTCCAGGCTGCCATTGATTGACATTAAATATTGTGCCTTACTTGTGGTAGATAATACACCATAGACCACAATATCTTATTATATAAGCGAATACATAAAGTTTTATTAATGTTGCAGGATAATTCAGTCTGAAGCAGGGAAGTCATTGTGAAAATTATTTCTGGTGCATTCATGGACAATCTGACATTTGAGACTTCACTTACGTAGTTCTGAGGAGCAACTTCTTTTTTTTTTTTCAGGGGCATTTTATGCTTTTGGGCCTTTTTGGTGTGGAGTATGTAAGTTCTCCCTGTGTGGGTTTTCCCTGGCTGCTCCAGGTTCCTCCCACAGTCCAAAGACATGCAGGTTAATAGGTTAATAACTACATTTCAATTAGAGTTTTATACAAAATTAAATACCTCCAGAAAACAAATGGCTGCCTAGAAAGTGGGAAATAAATCCGAAAACCTTCTGTATTGTCTAGAACCGGGTTTGCAGTGATGCAGTTATTATATTTGTACTTAATGAGCCAAAACATACAAAGACGGTTTTGTAAAGCACATTGAAAAAGCAGCAGAAGGATGGTTGTTTGGATCCTACTGTATTCAGTAACAACCAACAATAACCTCATTATCCTGCTTGTGATTATATGTGACGTGTAAGATGTATTATACCACTTTTAATGAATTCAGAACAGATTTCGATATAGAGATGACATGATAAGATATAGAACAGGAGTGGAAAACAGTTGCATTTTATTATCAATAGTGTAGTCTAGTACAGTATAGACCACAGTATATAGTAAAGGCCAGGTGACAGGGGTGACACAAACAACAAATGAACCATTCTAATAAAAATAAGGTATATATAATCAATTTAAAAATGAATTATATTTAATTTATGTATGTGTACTATGATAGATGAGAAAGGAGAATTCTGTGATGTGTTATTTCACAGTACATATGGCACTAATCAGCAATGAGATGATTATATTATATCATAAACATAATATCTATTACCCCACTATATATAGTAATAGAGTATTAATAGTGTTCAGATTAATGTGGTTGTGTCAGTGAACTTAACTTAAGAATAATATAATTTATACTTCCACATACTGAACTAATACTTGCATTACACATAAAGATTCAAGTTCATTATTTCAAGGCCCAAAAAACATTGTTTATTAGTGATCTGTGACATGATCTGTGAATGTCTTTATTTATGTCTGCATTTATGGACTATAAAACAAGGCTAGAATTTACAGTAGTAGTCTTTTGTTGGGTGTGTATTTTTATGATGTTGGAACGACCAAAAGTCAAAGGATGCAACAAAAATACAACCTCTTTTGTGATTTTAGTCAGAAAACATTATGTTATTTATTTAAAGCAGTTAGAAAGTTTTAATCCGGCAGATCCTCAAATTTTTTAAATTCTCATATACTCATCAATTTGTGTTAATCTGCTGCCAGCCCGAGAGAGAACTTATTAAATACAAAGTGTGCTCGGTACTATTTAGTTTCTGTTTCAGTTTCTGCTGATTCTTCATATGTTCAGCCACAGATCTCAGAAATAAGACACCACCTGTTTAGAACAACAGCTTTCATGAAGTGGATAAATAAAATGACTTTAAACATATTTGCCATGTAGTCATAAGTAACAGTAATCATGTAAAAAAAATCTGCAATGCAATGACTAATGTGAAACAAAAAGTCAGCAAACTCTGTTTATCAATTTTACTCACTTCCCTGTCTTTGTAACAACTCAGTAAAATCAGGTTTGAACCTAAAGAAGCAGGTAATGTTAAAAGTTCAGTTGTACTTGTAAAAGGAGGCAAACTTATTCAGTTGGGGATCAGGCAAAGGGACAGGGGTCCAAACAGGCAGGGATCATGCAGGCAGAGAAACAGGCGGGACAGCCAAGTAGCAGGCGCATCTAACGGAGAAAGAATGGGAGCTACAGAGGCGGTTTAGAAAGGATGTGGCGTACTGAAGAGTAATTTCCTATATATGTGTGACAAATCACAAGAAAATGTACTTTGTTCGAGACCAGTCTCTTTCTCAGCAGCAAAACTCTGTTGTCAGATCTGGCAACGCAGATAACTAACTTTCTGAACCGCCTCTGGTGTAAGCTTTGATCCGTCCATACAACATTCACAACACTTCCAAACCCAGTGCAGAGATGGGGGAAAACAGGTGTTACAGCAGGGCAGGAGGAAGACGCAGGATCTGAAATGACAGGAGAGATAATGTATCGCAGAGAGCAAATAGTAAATGTGGCACAAGAATCAGGATGACATTGTGATTGTTGTCTTGTGGGCCAAAACTGTCAAATATGAAGCAAGTAGTCAGGACATTCTATGTTGTATTAACACTAACTAACTTCATCTAGTCCACCTACACAGGTTTTTTTAAACTTATGTTGCCTCATTAGACCTCTTCTCAGGACTGTGTGTACAGACTGCTTGATTGACATTTCCTTCTTTCTTTTTACATCAGTTAGGATTGGACAACTTACACCTTTACATTTTTTGGTGACCTTATACAAATCTTATCATAGTTCCACCTGCATTTAACCTGAACAAGTGAAAACACCTGTGGGTGTGCCGGGCCTTAAAGACCCATGTGTTAATTATATCATCCCTCATTGATACATGTGTTAAATTAACACAGTGATGGGTTTGATCTATTGTTTCAGTTGAATTACACATACATATCTCCACTATTACAGTATTTTATTACGGAGAGTTAAACGGAATTTCGAGTTTATTAGCAGTGCATTGCAATATGTAGTCTTTAAGCGAATCACCTCCTGGCTCCATAGCACACAGGATTGAGGGTGGTATGGATCTTTTTCCCAAATGTAAAGCTTTTCCTTTAATTCGTGATTTTTAACTTCTGTCTACGACAAGGACTTTCTGGCACGGCTTACAGTATCTGACAAAAACATCACGTTTATAGTTTACATACAAGTTGTTGTTGTACAATAAATTCACATTCCAGATCTCTAAGATCTAGAAGTTACTGTTTATTCCTGCTTGTTTGTTGTTTATTTCACATGCTTTCTGTAAAAGAGAAATTAATGAAATTCCATGTTGTGCCACTTTATCTGCTCTGATGACTAGTATCTGTGAAGCCTTTGCCTGACCACCTTTTCTTTAAACACAGTGATTTGAAGTGTTAACAGGCTGTGGTTTTAATGTAACGGTAGTCAAAGATTCCACTTACCACATTTGGCAACTAAAAGCAACTATCTAAATATTTCCTTTGTTGATGTACTGCATGATGTTCATAGGCAACATGTTCAGTTATCATTTTTATTCTGTTGAGCATTTAGGTTGCTGGTTTACATACTGGTGAATGTTGTCTACAAAAGGAGCATATTAAAGGGTAAAGTAAATGGTAAATGGCTATATTTATATAACGCTTTTATCCAAAGGGCTTTACAATCAGCCTCTCATTCACCTATTCAAACACACTCACACACCAATGATAGCGAGCTACCATGACAGGCGCTGGCCTGCCCATTGGGAGCAACATGTGGACTGTGGCTGGGGATTGAACCGCCAACCTTGTGATTAATGGACGACTTGCTGTATCTCCTCAGCAACTAATATATGTGCAGTTATTTTATCCAAATAATTTAATTTGTTCTGGTGAATTTGTGGTGTGTGTGTGTTATGGACCTAAGAATTAGGCCGTTCTCTCCTATTTTGTTGCTTAAAACCACATTTTTTAATTGTAGAGATTGCCTGTTTCACACTATAACTCGTGTAAGATATTTCTACCATTATGTTCAGAATTTATTCAAAGATAGTCCCTCTGTCTTGGTTGTATTTCATTTTTTTCATAAATGTGACTTCCAGTGGGGACCTGCTAGGGGATCTGTCACTGCATCTATGTTGTTTCATAGTTACACACCAGGTGGCATTAGAGACCACACTTTGTTTTCAGACTGGTTAAAAGCTTTTGCAGTGATACCAATGAACCAGAAGGGGGCAGTAGATCATCACTAAAACTGGGTTGTTAGGTTTAGTAACAACCTTTTGTAAATCTGTTTGATAACATATCTGTTCACACACACACACACACACACACACACACACATACACACACACACACACACACACACACACACACACACACACACACACACACACAATCACACACAATCACACACTGTTCTGTAACAGATGTCCTTTCAGACGGAAAGCTCTGATAAGTAATTAAGCAAATTAACTTGATGAGTAGTTTTTCTTCAATGTGCCCTCAACAAAACTATGCTTTATTAAAATAGTGTTTAATTAAAGGAAATTTAAGTGGACTGTTCTGTTCAAATAATTTTTTGTTTTTTTATGCAGTGAATAAGGTTCGAGACATTCAGACAAACAGGTTTTGAACCAGGCTCTTTGTGATTCTGCAGGTACTCAGCCATCCTCTCAAAATATTCACACCTCTGTTGGTCCCTGTTCTCGTTTGTCAGACTGCTGGAGTTGTTCGCCCTCTCGTGTGCTCCTCCAACTTCCTATCTTTCTGTCTCATCGGCTTGATTGGGGATGGAGGCGGATGTTGTCCAGAAAGACAGAC